GACAGTCAGATACATAATATACAAAACATCATATAAGCAATTATCATAACTGAACAAAGCATATATACATATCTTATAAAAAAACATACGCAGTCATTCCGGAGGGATGACCCCAAGCGAAAATCAACGCACGCAACAAATATCATTTACAAAAATCATCACAATACTCACATCAGAACAAAACATGTTATATCAGAGACGTATGCAATAGTTTCCAAGGGATGACCCCAAACGGAAATCAACGTACGTAACAAATATCATTTACAAAATCATCATACATATCCCATAAAACATGTCATATAATCAAATATCATAACTAAACAAAACATATACACATATCTTATCAGAAACGTACGCAGTTATTCCCAAGGGATGACTTCAAGCGGAAATCAACGTACGTGTTCCCAAGGGAGTACCCCAAGCGGAAACAAAAACATATCAGATATGTACACAGTCAATCTCTAGGGATGACCCCAACCAAAACATATCTTCACTGAGTAAAATATATATACAGATCTTATCAGAGGCGTACGCAGTCATTCCCAAGGGAGGACCCCAAGCGAAAATCAACGCATGTGTTCCCAAGGGAGGACCCCAAGCGGAACCAGAACATATCATAGGCGTACGTAGTCATTCCCAAGGGAGGACCCCAAGCGAAAATCAACGCACGTGTTCCCTAGGGAGGATCCCAAGCGGAACCAGAACATATCAGAGACGTACGCAGTCATTCCCAAGGAAGGACCCCAAGCGAAAATCAACGCACGTGTTCCCAAGGGAGGACCCCAAGCGGAACCATAACATATCAGAGACGTACGCAGTCATTCCCAAGGGAGGACCCCAAGCGAAAATCAACGCACGTGTTCCCAAGGGAGGACCCCAAGCGGAACCAGAACATATCAGAGACGTACACCGTCAATCTCAGGGGAACCCAAGAAGACATCAGTGTACCATAAAATCCATGGCCAAAGATCAATACAGAAATCATGTCAGAACAAGTCATATAACAAATGTGTTCACAGTCAATCCCAGGGGAGGACCCCAAGTGGGAATCAGTGTACGTGTTCCCAAGGGTGGACCCCAAGCGGAACTCAACAAAACATATCATATTAACACATATCAAAGTAAACACATCAGAACAAAACATATCATATTATCATATAGCTCTATAGGAATGCATCTATATCATACAACTTGACCACAGTCCGTACACTATGGCGGAACACAAAGTAGGAGCGAATCCCATAAACATAGAGCTTACCTCTCAAAGCTGTATAGATGGCCTACCCAACAACCGAGTTACCAAGCCTCCTCTGATGTAGGATCCTCAACAAGACTCTTAGGCGCACCTAGAATAGGGAATCCATACAAATATCAATAAAATGGTTCAAAACCAAGTAGTTAACCAGACACACCATTTATTGATTTCATCTTTTACTTATCAAATATTTCTTAACTATTCATACATACGGTACTGTTCATCTCTACGGTGCTATTCATGTATATGTCACTATTCACGTATACGGTACTATTCATATACGTCACTATTCAAAAATACGGTATCTCAATTTTTTCAAATACATTTTCACCGTTAAAATCTTCATCCGAACATTTTTCTCAACATGAGCCAAGCCTCAATCAAGCTCTAACATGCTCAATCAAACCAAACTTTCAAAATGAAAACTTAAATTCAATCTTCCTCAAAACTCAAAGAAAACCAGGATTTCTCAACATAAACTTACCTAGAATGAAGGGGAAGGCTTACTTCAAGCTTCCATGGCTTTAAGCTCCATCAAAATCCTCATTATCCATGAAATTCGAAATCTTAGATGAGGAAGATCTCTCTCTACAGTGAAACACACCCAAAAATATTGGTACCAATGGATTCCTCTCGAAATTTTTCACAAGTTTGGCTTTGGAACGAAGTGAATTGGAGGTCTCTAGCTCTCTCTACGAATTTTGGAAGGTTTTTATTCAAAACCTCCATTTCTCTCATTTTGCTCTCTGTCCGACGACGAAGAAGAATGGGAAAACAGTGACTCACTACTCACTTAAGTGAGTTTATTTTACTAGTGGGTATAATCTTATCTATCTATGTACCTCTATTTATTACCAAACTTCACCCAATAGACTAGAATATTTTTCTAGTCACTTTTCTATATTTACTTTCACTTTTTGGATAACTTTATTTACCCGTATTTTTACCACTTAACTGTCATTTTAACTCCTCTTTCACCAAAGGTGACTTTATTTCTTTTTCTTTATAATTATCCTTCAATATTAGATCTATAATAAATGTGAGGGTCATTATAACCCCCCCCCCCCCCCAATTTCGTGACACTATTCATCAAGAGGAGGAATTGGAGTTTTTGAGAAAACTTTGCTTGGAGGTTGTTCCTTAGACCTTGTACAAGTGATTAGAGGTAAGATATCTCTATTCCTATGGTTTGAATTTCATGATTTAAGTTTTGAAAAATATGAGCATGTTTTGGTGGGAAATTGTTACGTTTGAAATTTGAATTTGTGTTGGATTATTGATGTATATGAAGTGGTAATGTGAGATGAACATATAGATGAGTGTAAGTTGGAAAAAAATCCCATTGAAACCCTTCCTTTAGGTTTTGGCCATAGTATGCTCAAGTGGGGTTTGTTGTGCAAAAATTTGATTGTACACTTGTGAGGGTTTATAAGTATGTGAATGTTGTGAATTAAGTGGGAAATTGAAAGTATAAAGAGAAAATCCTTTGTGAACCCTTCCCTCTAGGTTCGGCCATTAGGGTTCTTTAGGGATTGAATGTGTTAAAAATTGTTTTGATCATGTATTGATGTTAAAATGTATTGTATTTGTGTGATTATGAGTTAAATTGACTTAACCAATGATGAGAAACATTTTGGTTCCCTATATGTGCTCCTCGGCCTTGTGAGGGAAAAGTAGGCATAAGTTATGTTTAAATTGTTGAATGGATACATAGATAACTTAGGGACCAAGTAAGAGTTATAGGAACCATTGGTTGTGTGAATTGAAGATATGAAAATCCTTAGCTCTCCTTAGACCATGGCTTCGACCTTTTAACGTTTTTGGGGCTAAGAAGTGTTGAAATTGTAAAAGGCATCTTGGAGGCATGGTTATGCCATTCTAAGACCCTATATAAGCATAAAACCATGTGGTTATTTGTGGAACAAGTAATCACCCTAAAATGGTCTAATATGTGAGTTTAGAAAATTATGGTCTTGACTTATGGGTTGGCATATAATTGATATAAGTTTTGAAGTAAAGAAAGTAAGCAATAAAGTGTATGTGTCTTGTATAATTACATGGCATTTTATCATTTTATTTAGTTTCGTTTTGAATTCTTTCTCTAGGTGTGTCTAGGGATTTCGAAATTTTGGATTCTTTTGGAGGAAGATAAGTGACTTGTGTGACAAGTAAGGATATTGTTAAAGCTTCAAGAGGTAAGCTCTATGTTTAAGGAGTTCTCTCTTACTTATGTGTTCCACCATGGTTAGTGGACTATCGTTGGATTTTATGATTGTCTTTGATGCTTAATATAGATGTATTCATATAGACTTAAATGATAATATAATGTGCTTTGCTCTAATGTGATTATTGTGATGGTTCTTGGCCAATGAATCTATGTGCAATGATTTTCACTTTGGGTCCTCACTTGAGAATGACTGTGTACACCTCTGTTTTATGTTGTGTTTCGCTTGGGGACCTCCTTTGGGAACATGTACGTTGATTTTTGCTTGGAGTCCTTATAATAACCCTCACTAGTAGTTGTGGATTTAATATTGAAGAATAATTAGAAGAAAAATAAATAAAGTCACCTTTGGTGAAAAATGAGTTAAAATGACAGTTAAGGGGTAAAAATGCGGGTAAATAAAGTTACCCAAAAAATGAAAGTAAATATGGAAATATTACCACAAAAATATTCTAGTCCATTAAGTAAAGTTTGGTAATGAATGGAGGTGTGTAGATAAATAAACTTTTACTTAGTTAAATTTTACTTAACCTATGTAAGTGAAAAAGTTTCAAAAAAATGTTACTATCCTCGTCTTCCACGGGCAGCGATCGACAGAGGAGAGGAGAAAATAAGAAAAAAATGGAGATTTTGATTTTAAATCTTCCGAAATTCATAACTTGAGCTAGAGATCTCCAGATCACTCCGTTCCAAAACTAAACTTGTGAGAAATTTCAAGAGGAATCCATTGGCACTAGTATTTCTAGGTGGGGTTCACTGTAGAGAGAGATCTTCTTCCTCTAAGATTTCGGATTTCATGGAAAATGGAGATTTTGATGGAGCTTGAAGTCATGGGAGCTTGAAATAAGCTTTCGCCTTCGTTCTAGGTAAGTTTATATTAAGAAATCCTAGTTTTCTTTGAGTTTTGAGGAAGATTGAATTTAGTTTTCCATTTTGAAAGTTTGGTTTGAATGAGCATGTTCGAGTTTGATTGAGGCTTAGCTCATGTTGAGAAAAATGTTTAAATGAAGATTTTAACGGTGAAAATGTATTCGAAAAAATTAAATACACCGTATTTTTGAATAGTGTCGTATACATGAATAGTGACGTATACGTGAATAATACTATAGAGATGAACAGTACCATACATATGAATTGATGATGGATAATGATGTAAATGCGTTTATTGGTTATAGTGTGAGACTAAGTGGACTTGTGGAGCAAGAGCATGGACATTGCATTGAGCAAGGCTCTTGATTCTTGAGATTGAGGTAAGTATCAAACAATGATTTGATGTGAAACTTATATGAAATAGATATATGTTTAATTGTGATAAATTCACCATGAATAGGTGTATTCACCATGGATATATGTTTATTTTTTCCTCTTTATTATCTTGAATTAACAACTTTGTTTAACGAGTGAAGCAAGTAAATAGCTAGGACCTCAAACAGCAACATTACATCAGCTACAGAAAATGTTTTAAAATGTATAAATTAATACAAAAGCTCCGTCAATTCAAATTATGGAGTAGAAATGTGATTTTTTTTAAATGTACAATAATTAAATATTAATTTCTCTTTTACAGCTATCTCTGTACTGTTATGATACCATTAAATAGATTTTTCAATCTGAAACGTATTGTGCTTGGTTCTGGAACCAGATTCTCTAAAAGATTGTGTCTGCCATGAGGATGTAGTATCCGAATCTTCAGTGCTTCCCTGTGGAGTCAAGTTTGGTTTACCTGACCCCAGATTTGGGAAGGGAAATGGAGGTGGAGAAATATCTATTTCACCCTCTAACATCTTCACCACAGTACTCATAAGAGGTCTATCATCTGGTGAATACTGAACACACCACAGAGCAACCATTAACATTCTCTCAGCTTTCTCTTTGTCTTTCTCTTCAATTCCACAAAGAGAAAGCATTACAGCTAATTCATTAGTCTCAAACATATCCCATGTCCATTTTGGGAACCATTGCTGTGATTCAGTGAAGCTAGAATCAAAATGCCTTCTTCTCCCTACAATTTCAAAGAGAAGAATACCAAAACTATAAACATCACACTTGTAAGTCACTGGACAAGGCTTCCACATTTCTGGTGCAGCATATCCCCTGGTTCCTCTAAAGTGTGTATTCACTACATTGTTACTTTCTCTGCTGCAAAGCTTTGCCAAGCCAAAATCTGCTACCTTTGGCTCTAACTTCATGTCAAGAAGAACATTTTCTGGTTTAATATCATAATGAATTATTCTTTGTTGGCATTCCTCATGTAAATAAGCAATTCCTTTAGCTGTTCCAATTGCAATCTCATGAAGCTTCCCCAACTCAGTGTCATGGTTCTGGCTGCCAAACAAGTATTTGTCCAGAGACCCATTTTCCACACACTCATAAACAAGAGCTCTCTTGTCATGGTGGAAGCAGAAGCCATAAAGTCTTACTAGATTGATATGGTAAGTTCTTCCAATGGTGCCAACTTCTGCTTTGAATTGCTCTTCCATTCCCATATCCAAACTGTTGATAACCTTTACTGCCACATGCTCTCCATTTGACAATTCCCCTTTGTAGACAACCCCAAAAGCACCAGAACCCAATATGATTGAATAGTTCCATGTAATGTCATCAAGTTGCTCAGGTAAGAATCTTATGGGTTTCTCTCTATTGATGTTGCTTAGGAATTTTTCCATAGTTGCAAATTCAGCTTTTGAATCTGGTGGTATTACTACTTGGATTTTGCTGCTTGAAGGAAATGACTCAGAATCTTTATGATCCTTCTCTGTGGTTGAAAGCTGGGAGTAAGCTGGAATTGCTGTTCCTGCCTTCTTCAAGCAATCAATAATGGCATATACTATTGCTACAGTTGCTATCATTCCCACCACTCCAAGAACTGAAAATCAAAATACAACATAAATTATGGTAGAATATAATGAGAATATAACACATGTTTCTCTTGAAGCTATTCAATTTCAGTTTTACCAGCACTTAGCTATTGCATTTAAGTGATAACCATTTCTGCTTTCAAGCAATATTTTTGTATACCTCAGATCCTAAACTAATCAATATTGTAAACAGAAGAAAAGAGAGATTCATAACAAAGAAACCAATAATTGCTATACCTTTGTTTTACAATGAAATGGAAATATGAAAATAGATATATCACAAGCATGCATGGACACAAAAGTATTAGCTATGTGCTTACCAATAGACGTTACTAGTGCCCATTTCATAGTGGAATTAGCACTTTCAGAAAATTTGTCAAAAGTGCTTTGCGCCTGTGTCTGAAAATCATCATGTGAACTGTAGAATGAAGGTGGAGAAAACCGAAAACTCATGTTATTTCTCTAAGCTTGTGTAGGAAAGCAAAGTATGAAGAGTTAATGGTGGAATTTGGATTTGCAAAAGACTCAAATAGGAAAGTAAGGTATATACGTGCATTGATGTATGTGGGTATGAAAGAAGAACTAGGCTTTGACTTTGACTAAAGCAAGTTTCATTGTATCTGACTAAGTCTAATATAAGACCTTTCTAAGTAACACCACCTGTTTGTTTGTTCCGTGCCACTTATTGCAAGCTATTGACTATCATGTGCCACAAAACGCGTTTTTGCTTATTTACGGGGAAATTTCACATAAAATTATTATCTTGTCTCTGGGAAATCAATCAGAAGATTCAAAATTCAAATTGTAAATAACGCGACTAAAAATGTATAAATGTACGTTTTTATCGAAATTATACGTGTCAGAATATAAGTAAAAATATTTTTTAATAAAAGCGTGTAAGAATGTCACTTAAAAACATAAAAATGGTAAAAATGTAAATTTTTATATTTTTACTTAAATCCAAAAATGAACCGGATCAATTTTTAATCCTAACTCAATTTAATTTTAAAACAAAAAAATTCATATTCCCCCAAATCAGACTGTGCAGCCTTCTTCCACTTCGATTGTCTTCTTCTCTAAGCTATTTAACTCGAATCAATTTTTTTTGTGTTTTTAAATTTATATCTTTTTTTTTTTTTGGTAAACATATGATTTATATCTTTTAAATATAAAATCATTAATTGAATTTTGAGTATTGACTTATAATTAACAACTTATAATTATGTCTTATATATATATATATATATATATATATATATATATATATATATATATTTAAGGGGAAAAATAAAAAATAAAATTCTATGGTTTTCTCACAATCACTTGCCTCGTGTTATTTTTTCTTATCATTTATTTTCCTAAAGTTGTTTTGTTTTGGTCTTAGAATGATACAGTGGATGGTAATCTTTTGACTTTTGAGTGCCGATACAATATAGTCGCTTATCCAATTAACTAAAAAATTGCCAAAATAATAATAATCAAGAGAAAGAGAGAGAGCAAATTCACTTGTGGCTTAAAATGAAATATTAATATTACACAGCCCCATGCACCATGGATGACAATTAATGCAGTATTTGTTTGAATCATGAGGATAAAGGTTGTTATAGGATATATAAATGAGATGTGTCTACGGAGAAAGCAGCCGCAGATGGTAGTATATCACTGTGCAAGAACAAACTACAATGAGTCAAGGGGATGCTTGTTTGAAGGGACTAAGCCCAGTTTGTTTAGCCTAGCTTGAGCCGCATAATATGGCTCTTTGATCAGTTTGGGACTTTTCCCATTTAAATTTACGAATTTAATATCTGGATTGGACAAATTACCAGTTGGGATCTTTAAGTGCTGTAGGGGGGACCCAGCGACTCTGAATGACGTCCACAGTCCCCTGCGACACTCATGTAATGTTTTTTTTTTCCAAACACAATGTCACCCCCACCCCATCGGCACTATTTTTTTTTTTGGTTACCTAAGTGACGTCCAAACCCCCCCCCCCCCCCCCAACGGCACTCATCAAATACTTGTAACTTTCTCTCTCTCTCTCTCTCTCTCTCTCTCTCTCTAAAAGAATGAAAAGGATCTCTTCTTGCTACCTTTTGCTCACACTTTGTTGTTTTTCATCTTTTGTCAGACACCACCAATTCTATTCTAAGCATCAGCTTTCTGCACTTGATCTGGCTACTACCTTTTGTTTTCCTCTTTTCCATGTTACTAGATTACCTTTCACAAAGGTAAAGCATCTTGAAGTGAATTGTCTAGTGATTTTATCTCCAGCCGAATCTGAATATGTGTAGTTTTTAACCCCAAAAGTACTATTCTTTGAGAACAAAAGGCATTTTCCGGGTGATCCTTTTAGGTACCTCAAGATGCGATACACATCATTCATGTGTTCTTCACTTGGAGCATGCATAAATCGGCTCACAACACTTACTGCATAGGAAATATCTGGTCTGGTATGTGATAGATAAATTAGTCTTCCTATTAGTCTCTGATATCTACCAATATCTTCTTTAACTTGATCGGGATAGATGCCAAGCATGTGGTTCATTTCTATTGGAGTTTCAACTGGTTTGCGAGCTAACATCCTTGTTTCTGTAAGGAGATCCAATATGTATCTCCTTTGTGACAGAAAAATACCTTGACTTAATCTAGCAATTTCAATTATGAGGAAGTGTTTTAATTGTCCTAGATCCTTCATCTCAAATTCAGTTGCCAAATATTCTTCCAACAATTTCATTTGACACAAATCATCACCGGTCATAACCATATCATCAACATAAACTATCAACTTAGTTAATGAACAAAGTATGGTCTGCATTGCTCTACTTGTATCCAAATTTCTTCATTGCTAAGGAAAACTTGCCAAATCATGCTCTAGGTGATTACTTAAGTCTATATAATGCCTTTTTCAACTTGAACACTACATTTCCTTTCAAGGAGGTTCCCTTCACACCTAGTGAAATTTCCATATATACTTTCTCTTCTAGATCACTATTCAAAAATACATTTTTTACATCAAATTATTTTAGATACTCTTCCTTGTTGACTGCTAAAGACATCAGAATGCAAATCGTGTTGAGATTGGCAACTGGTGTGAAGGTTTCTTGATAATCAACTCCAAATTTTTGTATGTAACCTTTGGCAACTAATCTGGCTTTATACCTGTCAAGGCTTCCATCTGTTTTAAGTTTCACAACAAATACCCATTTGCACTCAGTCATCATCTTTCCTCTACGTAAAGGTACCAAGTCCCATGTTGAGTTTTTCTGTAATGCCTCCATCTCCATATTCATGGCCTCCTTCCTTTTTGGATCCACTAATGCATCCTGCAAATTGATAGAAATAGATATACTAGATAATTTATTAACATATAGACCATATGATTTTGACAACCTATGGGTGTATACATAGATGCTAATAGGATATTTGGCATTTGCCTTCAGGTCGGGCTCATATAATTGTTTTGATGTATCTTTTGTGTCTCTTTGGGATTTTTGTATTTGTGTGTCATCTGATGTCCAATCCCTTTATTGGCTAAGAATTGAACAAACAAGCCATTCATATACTCCATGCCATTGTTAGATTGTAGAATTTGAATTTGACTCTTGTATTGTGTGTGTGCACCATATTATAAATTTTTTGAAAAGCCAAGAAAACATCCCATTTCTTGTGTAACAAAGTCAGCCAAGTCATACGAGTACATTCATCAATGAAAGAGACATAAGCCTTAGAAAAAGAAGGAACTTTAGCAGGGCCCCATACATCAAATGAACAACTTGTAAAAGAACAGAACTTTTATTAATGTTTGTAAAATAAGGAATCATATGGCTCGTAGTCAATTCACAAGTGTTGCACTCAAAGGCAACATTATTAAAAGTAGAAAACAACCTAGGAAACAATTTTTTAATATATCCAAAAGAAAAGTGTCCTAGACTACGATGCCAAATCCAAATTAAATCCCTATCCTTATCTGGAATGGTTGTAGCACATGCACGAGCCAATGAGTGTGAACCCACATCAGTCATGTCCAGAAAATAAAGCTGACCACATTTAATACCATAAACAAGTATCATACATAGTATGAAGGACAAAACGTTACGGTACAGTTAAGGGTAAAAGTAAGTTAACTCACTGAAAGTAAATTATATTCCAGAGAGGGAACAACCAACACATAATGAAGTGACAAAGAAGTAAATGTAAGGAACCTTGACAATGATAATAGAGGTACCCCATTAGTAGTAGAGATAACAAATTGGGAGGACTTTTCAAAATTGGACAACAAAGAAGAGTCTCTAACCATATGGTCTGAAGCACCTGTATCAATAATCTATATATTATTTCTCGACAATGCAAAGAGTACAAGAGGCTTACCTAATATACCTTTGTGAGAAACATTGGTTGTGGGAATAGGGACATTACCGTCAGAAGCAGTGGTCATAGCCTTGACAGGGATATTTTTTCTGGGCTTCTTCATGAAATCTCACCACTTAAGATAACCAATTACCTCATAGCAATGTTGCTTAGAATGACTAGATTCACCCTAGTAAGAGCACACAAATAAGGAGAATCGGCCAAAGGACTAGTCTTTGCGAGGCTTCCCAGAGTTGGAAGGTTGCCACACACGAGATTGATGAGCCACCAAGGCTGAGCTTTTAGCAAAGACTTTGGGGATTCCCATAGTTTGCCGTTGTTGATACTCACGACGAACATAAGAATACGAACTTTCAAGATCCAACTTCGGATCTTTTCAAAGGATTTCACCTTAGACCTGATCATATTCATGGTCCAAGTCACTGAGGAAGATATGAACCTGCAACCTGGCTATGGCAGAGTGCATGGAGACAATACAGGTAACAGTATCGGCTTGAGAAGAAAGGCGATGATCAATCTCTTGAAAGATTGAGATGAGTTCATTGTAATATGTTGAAACTTGAAAGTGGACAACCAAGTAGCTTAATGGAGAATGATAGTTGATTTAGTTCGAACATGCAGGTCTCGTCAGAGCCATCGTCGAATGTCTTCATCGCAGCCTCCCAAATCTCTTGGGCAGTCTCAAGTCGAAGGAATTGATGAATGATGGCAGGGCTTATCGAATCAATGATCCAACTCTTCACTCGCTTGTTCTCAATAATCCAAACATCATAGGACAGGTTATCAGGTTTAGGCTTTTTCAGAGCACCAGTGAGATAACCGAATTTGTTTCTAGCCTCAATTCGTATATCCATAAGTTAGGACCAAAGGGGATAATTTGAGTTATCAAGGACAATTGATACAGGAAAAGAAGAATTATCTTGGAGGGGTGATTTCGGGGTCGGTGATTTGATTTTCCATGAGAAAAAAGGAGGAGAATGATAAAGGGAAATTAGGGATTTCGAATGATAAGAAAAAATTGGGGCGGGTAAAGGCAGAATGAAAACACTGTAGAAACGGGTACGGGTGGGTTGTTTTATTCAAGG